TTGGCCTGAAATTGGCTTTTTCTACTTCATTTCTCTACAAGTCACAAATTACTTAAAAAGAAAACCATTGTGTTGAACAGTTTAAAAATCATGCAATTAGTTCCCCTTAATTTTCACTTTTTAAATTATTTTTTTCACATTATGTATCTTATTTGTTTTTTTAATGCTTGTATGTAATCTAATATTTTTTTTCCATTGATTTCGGCAATTTCCTTCTTATATAATACGTCCCAGGGCGAATAACTTCGGCCAAGTAAATGTTAAATTGCATCGCAGTATCAATGTTGCTTTTGTTATCAGTGGGACAAAGGCTGCATTATATTTGTGCTTGGGTCATTCACATTTAAGTGTTTATCAAAAATGAAATTACATGAAACCCTGTGAGTGCCAGCTGGGTGTATTGCTACGCAAATTGTGGTACAAAGGGTTTATTTGTCCCCATTAGTATTGGCAGTAGGGCATTAACTCGATCTCAGACTCCCACTTTACTCCGGGGGACGATTTACTGAATTTAAAACTGGTTCTCGTACAAAATGATCCGATTATTTAATATAGTGTGAGTTGCTTGGAATTCAACCAGGGTTATACACTAAACTGTGAATTTACAGCGGCTCTTCTTTTATTCCACCTGTGCACCTTGTGGTTTTTGTTTTTTTAAGATGATTATTTTGAAAGTGATTCATAAGAAAAAGTATGGACACATTTTCCTTGTGTATAACTTAAAATTTGTCAAAGGGTGAAGCTTTAGTAAATCACCACGTCCTTTATCAACTTTGTCATTGGCCATCAACATAATACTCTCCTACCTCCGGCGTCATATCATCAATGGTCATTGTGAGGTCATTAAGATGGTGGCGCCGTGCACAAACACCCAACGGGACTGGCACAACTTGAAAATAAGGTAAGAAGCACCAGCATCGGGACCACTAAATGTTATTAAGGGAGGTTAAAGAGAAGCATACATAGGCTATAGGAAAGGGGGTAAGCTTTGCGACAGAGCCACTTTAAAATGGTTTTCAATTTTCAAGCCCAAGCAGACGGACACACAGCAGACGAGGGATTTGTTTACCAATATGGCTATTTTTTATCTAAAATGTAAAACTCTCTATGACGTCACTTTGAGTTCCCAACGGTTCCTTCCTTATCAAATAACCCTGTCTGGCTTATAATGTTACGTTTACTTTGAATTCACAGTTACGGTTATTCAATAAACCTAAATTAAATTAAATCTGAATTGCAAAACTTAGGCAAAAATAGCTCATCTGTAAAATAATGTGAAGCAACACAACTCTTGCCACAAGTTGACTTTTAGGCCTTGATTTTTAACGCTTAGTCTGGGCTCATTAAAGCAAATGCACATTGAATTCACACAAACAGGAAGATTTATTGACTAATTAGCATATTGTGAAGTGCAGAAATATGAACTGCACAATTCAGGCTAAGAATCCAAGGTGTGACGGCAGCATACATCCCAAGTGTCCATATATGGCAGAGACAGTCCCTATTTTGGGCCCAAATCCCTCTGTCCATTATTTTCTATCATAATATTCGTCTTTTCTTAGAACTCCATATTGTTGGCGGGTCTGACAGGATTATTCACTAAAGGGAGATTTCAAAGTGAATTTCAAATTTAAGGCCAAAATTGCTGCAAAAAAATCAGAAGAGGTCATTGTATCTGGTGTAACCCTTTAAGGTTTGGCAAAGCATCATGGCAGTTTTAGCTCTATAACAGCTGGCGAAGTTTAAAGATGGTGCGGTGTTGCCCCTTGACTTGTTGGGCTATACCCACTTAGCCCCAGGAGATGCAAAGCTCTGTTAAAAACCAGCTGCATTTTCAGTCACCAATAAAGAAAAATAATTTAAACTACAGGTAAAATTATAGCAGAAATTGATTTTTTTTTCTCTAACACATATTTATCAGTAGTCCTAAGAGTGACAATAAATTTGATTATTTTTTTTCTTTGTAACAAAAACTGGTGGTTGCGGCCCAACGACCCACCAGTCCCTATGAACCAGAGAAATATGGAGGAATACAGAAATATACTTAAACCATGTTTGTGCAGAGATATGGCTAACCGATATCTGAAAGAGCATCACATCAGATTGCTCCACAGACTGTCACCTAAACCAGAAAATCAGGTCTCTGGTGCCCTCCATCTCCGCACAATGAAACCACGGAGAGCACAGACTTTGTATTTATTAATTCTTCACCAAACAGCAGATCCAGGAAAACACATAATATATCTAGTCTAATGCATCAAAGTATGTAGAGTTCTTACAAAGGAATTATATAAACATTAAGTACCTGTGTAATATATGTCAAAATGAAAACTTAAAGGGACACTATAGTCAACAGAACAACTACAATTTAATGTAGTTATTATGGTGAGTATAGTTAGACCCTGCAGGGCTTTTTAATGTAAACCTGCCTTTTTAGAGAACAGGCAGTGTTTCCTATGTGCAGCACTGTCATTCAGCGTCTCCACGTTCTGCATGGAGACAATGAACGTTCCCCATAGAGATGCATTGATTCAATACATATCTAAAAGGGTGATGCTGATTGGTGCTGCGCATGCACAATAGCCTCCTATTGCTTTGATATGGGAAAGCATTAGATTGGCTTAGATCATCAAAATTGATCTCAGGCAAGGAAACGGAGCATGGGCAGGGGGCAGTCGCGATGAGACCCTCATGATGCTGGAAAAATGTTGTAAAAAAAGTAAACAACCTTTTTCACAAATAATAAAAGAGTAAAGAAAGGTAATGTAATTATTAACCTCCTGAAGCGGAGGGTAACCCCTAATGAGACTGGTCACTATGGAATAAAAGAGAAAGAAAAACAAAAGAGAGAACTGCCAGGAGAGAGCGAGAAATAATAACTGTATCGCTGTAAGAGTGACAAATATCAACCAATTAGGCTAGGTATCTCTAAAAATAAAACTTAAAGGGACACTCCAGGCACCCAGACCACTTCTGCCCATTAGAGTGGTCTGGATGCTAACTCTACCCTTAACCCTGCAAGTGTAATTATTGCAGTTTTCATAAACTGCAATATTTACATTGCAGGGTTAACTCCTCCTCTAGTGGCTGTCTACTAGACAGCCACTAGAGTGCACTTCCTGGTTTATAGCACAGGTTTTCAGTGCAATAGCGTCGCTGGACGTCCTCACGCTATGTGAAGATCTCCAGCATCGCTTAAATCCCCATAGGAAAGCATTGAAAGCATTTTCAATGCTTTCCTATGGAGAGGTCTAATGCGCGTGCGCGGCATTGCCGTGCATGCGCATTAGGTTTCACCGGCCGTAGGCGGACCCTCAACCAGTGCCGAGGGACATCGGCAGGGGTCTCAGGTAAGTCACTGAAGGGGTTCTAACATGGTGGGAGGGAGAGGGGACGGTTTGTTTTCCTGGCACTAGAGTGTCTCTTTAACTTTTAATATAGCGATTAAGAGGTGAAATAAGTCACCACAACAAAAAGGAAAGCAAGATTCAAACAGAAATAATAATGTACATATTTACAAAACAATTATCCTGAGTGTAGCTAGAATGTCTGTATATAAAAATCTGGTAGTTCTACCCAAATATAGGGATACTGAATACAGACTAAGGTAGCACAGTCTGTAGCTTTGTGAGTTCAGGATAATAAAAATAAACATTTTGGGTTAAAGGAACACTAAAGTCACCTAAATTACTTTAGTTAAATAAAGCAGTTTTCGTGTATAGATCATTCCCCTGCAATTTCACTGCTCAATTCACTGTCATTTAGGAGTTAAATCACTTTGTTTCTGTTTATGCAGCCCTAGCCACACCTCCCCTGGCTATGATTGACAGAGCCTGCATGGAAAAAAAACTGGTTTCACTTTCAAACAGATGTAATTTACCTTAAATAATTGTATCTCAATCTCTAAATTGAACTTTAATCACATACAGGAGGCTCTTGCAGGGTCTAGCAAGCTATTAACATAGCAGGGGATAAGAAAATCTTAATTAAACAGAACTTGCAATAAAGAAAGCCTAAATAGGGCTCTCTTTACAGGAAGTGTTTATGGAAGGCTGTGCAAGTCACATGCAGGGAGGTGTGACTAGGGTTCATAAACAAAGGGATTTAACTCCTAAATGGCAGAGGATTGAGCAGTGAGGCTGCAGGGGCATGTTCTATACACCAAAACTGCTTCATTAAGCTAAAGTTGTTCAGGTGACTATAGTGTCCCTTTAAGGGGTGCCCACGAAGGCACAGAATTAATCTTTACTTTACCTCTCCCTGCTGTCACCCCTATTGATACAGACATGTATTGGCTACATTGTTTGGCAGCGACTATTAGCTAATACAATGTTGCTTTGTTGCTCCCACTACATTGCTGGACTTTTTTAGTTACACTATCTCTAGGGGGACCATTTAGCCTGTATTACCAGCATTTTCTGATTTCTTAGTATTCATATTGCAGCACGGCACATTATGAAATACTACTTTTTTTCTTTAATAAAAAGTGAGCCCTTAAATCTAAAAAAAATAAGCAATTTAAAGTTTATTCACATTTCTATATTAATAATAATTACATAATAATAATAATATTATAAATAATAAAATATGCAAAGGGGTTACAATAATCATTAATAACAACCAACAACACAAATAAATCGACATAAATGGACTCTAATAATTATCAATAAGAAAAGAAAATACGAAATTGAGTTATATAATAATATTATAATATAATAAACAATAATACTTTATAAAAATATCAGCGCCCAACGTGGGGCTCGAACCCACGACCCTGAGATTAAGAGTCTCATGCTCTACCGACTGAGCTAGCCGGGCAGATGGTAGAGAGCCTGGAACATGCCACCTGCATGCCTAGTGTATCAATGGGTGATTTGTTATAGTTACAAAATAGGGGGGTTTGTGGAAGCCCTCTGTATTAATAAATATGCGAGGTTGTAAAAACACCCCTCCTGAATTGGGTGCGTCCATGCAGAGCCTTTCGCCCACAGCACTGGGGGCGGGGCTTTGCGCGTGATGTCACGGAAGGGGGCGTGGTCTGGGCAGGAGGCCGGCTCCTCGGTACTCGAGTGAATTGTCAGCCCGGGAGAATGTCCGCTGATCCCCTACCGCCACCCGCGGCTTCCCCGGGGCCTGCTCTGCCGACCTGCATAGTGCTGGCCCTGGTCTCCCTGCTCTGCTTCGTGGCCGGATTCGGGACTGGGGCCGAGTTCGTGCGATTCCTGTCCTTCGGGGCGATATTTAAAAACATCAGCGGGGAGTCAGGTGGGAGCCGGAAACATGGCGGCGGCTGGGGAGGGGTGAGGGGTAATTCACCGTCTGGGGGGGGAGTGAAGGGGTGACTTACCGGCTGGGGGTGTGGGGGTGACTTACCGGCTGTGGGGGGGTGAAGGGGCTGAGGGGGTGACTTACCGGCTGGGGGATGAGGGAGGGAGACTGAAGGGGTAACTTACCGGCTTGGGAGGGGGGGTTGAGGGGCTGAAGGGGTAACCCCCCTGGTAAACCCAGTTAGTCCTTATTCCAATCATTTATAAGAAATAAACAGACATGTAGGTAAATACAGAGCAATTCAGAGAGAATTTAATTTTAGTAATTATCAATAATGTATCCTAAAACAAAGCAATGGGAAAATATCCCACTCCTGCCACAAACCAATAACAATCATTAATATAAAGTCATCCCACCGCTGCCACCATCCACAAACCAATAACAATCATTAATATATAGTCATCCCACCGCTGCCACCATCCACAAACCAATAACAATCATTAATATAAAGTCATCCCACCCCTGCCACCATCCACAAACCAATAACAATCATTAATATATAGTCATCCCACCGCTGCCACCATCCACAAACCAATAACAATCATTAATATAAAGTCATCCCACCGCTACCACCATCCACAAAGCAATAACAATCATTAATATAAAGTTATCCCACCACTGCCACCATCCACAAAGCAATAACAATCATTAATATAAAGTCATCCCACCGCTGCCACCATCCACAAACCAATAACAATCATTAATATATAGTCATCCCACCGCTGCCACCATCCACAAGCCAATAACAATCATTAATATAAAGTCATCCCACCGCTGCCACCATCCACAAAACAATAACAATCATTAATATAAAGTCATCCCACCGCTGCCACCATCCACAAACCAATAACAATCATTAATATAAAGTCATCCCACCCCTGCCACCATCCACAAACCAATAACAATCATTAATATAAAGTTATCCCACCGCTGCCACCATCCACAAACAATAACAATCATTAATATAAAGTCATCCCACCGCTGCCACCATCCACAAACCAATAACAATCATTAATATAAAGTCATCCCACCCCTGCCACCATCCACAAACCAATAACAATCATTAATATAAAGTCATCCCACCCCTGCCACCATCCACAAACCAATAACAATCATTAATATAAAGTTATCCCACCGCTGCCACCATCCACAAACCAATAACAATCATTAATATAAAGTTATCCCACCCCTGCCACCACCCACAAACCAATAACAATCATTAATATAAAGTCATCCCTCGCTGCCACCATCCACAAACCAATAACAATCATTAATATAAAGTTATCCCACCGCTACCACCATCCACAAACCAATAACAATCATTAATATAACGTCATCCCACCGCTGCCACCATCCACAAACCAATAACAATCATTACTATAAAGTTATCCCACCCCTGCCACCATCCACAAACTAATAATAATTAATTCTGTTGTCACCAAGGGGGCAGAGCTAGTGTCGGCAGACCCGCACAGTGCTAGAAATAAGGTAAGTATTTTTTATTAACTTTTAAGGGGGCTGAGTGGGGGCCAGCCACCTAAATGGTGGGTTAAACACTATAGGGACAGGAATACATGTTTGTGTTCCTGACCCTATAGTGATCCTTTAAATAATCCCATTGTCTATTGTAATGATATAATACATACATGTTGTATGTAATGTTATATTTGTTATAATGTTGCTTATAAATCAACTTGTAACCTAATTATATCCATAAGAGGAATAAGTGAAGTTTCAGCTTTTAAACTGGACAATTCCTCCTAGGCTAAGGAAAAAGCAGGAACCTTCTCACACTCTCATTGAGTACAGCAAACCTTCTACGCAGGCATATCATATATCCATAAGTGGGGAGAATTAACAGTCTTAAGGGTGATGGCAGGTGACGGTAAACAGACATTGTACACTACAAATGGCGATGCCTTAGCTCTTACCTATTAATTCTCTATTTGCAACAGGTGAAACCGTGCTATCATGGGGCGAAGCTGTGGAAGACTCTCAGGTGCTGCGATCCCTTGGGATAGATGTCGCCCTGCTTTTTCTATTTGTACTCCAGCACAGCATCATGGCCTGGTCGGCAGTGAAGGGAGGAATCACCTGTGTGTTCGGTGTGCTGCAGCGTTCCATCTATATCCTCTGCACTGCCCTGTCTCTGCAGGTACCGCCACTGATTACTGTATTACTGTATTAGCAATTAAACGTGAGTGTTAAAAGCCAGAAGTCAGTAAAAAGGGAGATCAACTCCAGCCTGATCACTAAGTAATGGACTCTCATTCACATAAAAAGCTGCAGCACTTCATACTTAAATATCTAGTATTTATAGTTAATAATAGGAATCACCTAGCATGCAGATTCCACCCATTCTGAGAGATAAAAAAAAATGTATATTCCGGTTTGTTTCTGTGTTTCTAATTCACGCTAACAAGTTCTGAGCCAAACTAGTGCATACACTTCTAATCTTATACCTAGTCAACTCCTCCTAAAAAATGTAGTTGAGCTTGCTTGTCTGTTACAGGTCTGTGCTGTGGTCATGTGTGTAGCGTGTTCAACATGTTAAATATGTTGTCCTATTCTCACATCTAAGTTAGGTCTCATAGGAGGGCAATTATAAAATGTGTAAAAAATAAAAATTCATTCTTGGTTAACGCGACACTGTCACCCTCTGTGGATTTTGCAGAATTTGCCAAGACCCCCTATGGTGACATCACCAATAGGGATCGTGATGGTTGGGGGAAGGGTCAGGTAAAGGTGAGTTCTACTTTTTGATGGTGACTGCTGTCGGGATTGACATTATCTCTCTGCCGGTGTCCAAGAAAAATACATAAGCTAAATAAGTCCCTACTTTCTCTTATGTTTTTAGTTAGAAATAGATGAAAATTAAAAAATAAATTAGAGTAGGTTAGAGGAAGCGATTGGGAAAAGGTAAGTACAGCGTGACAGTGCCATTTTATTAGTCTGTTTTATAGCCACTGTTACTGTCACCATGGGTAGTTGTGGTTTGTTTGTTATGGTAATTCTTATTAACGAATAACCAGAAGTGTCATTATGCCATCTTGAGATTTTAACCTTTTGGTTATTGCAATCAGGTGTACCAACCCATAGCTTTTGTGTGTGTGTGTGTGTGTGTTCACTCTCAAAATAAGTTGACTTTCTGTGTCTGACCAATCACAGCCTTCCTAATCCAGCTCAATGAGAAGTCTTTGCAAGGCAGGTGCTCTGGGAAATTGCTGCCTCTTGAGGTCAGCTCAACTGAGCTAACCAAATCAGGAAGTAACAGGACTGGTTGAGAGCTGGGGAGGCATAACATTCTAGATTACTGTTCTCTTTCGCTGTCTTCCAGGTAATGATTAGGTTCTGGCAACCCTGCCCACATGGTCCCTACCTGTGGAACGTATCTTCAGATTATTGGAATGCGCTACTGCCTCTGCTGTGTGCCCTCCTGCATACGATCTCTTGGCTGCTGATATTTAGCGTTCTGCTTATCTTCGACTACGCTGAGCTCATGGGCATTAAACAGGTGGGCATAAACCCAGAGGTGATATGTTTTCAATATCAATGGTGCTATTCCTACTGGAACTAGGAATTATACGTCAGATTTATTATCCCTAAAGACACTGTCCTGGGTATTAAAATAAAATATTCTTATTTTTGTGTATCTGTATTCACTGCTTAAGTCTCCCGAATTCGAGTCTGTCATAAGTTATTGGGGCTTATTCACAAAGAACTTGGTGAACTCAAAATACAGTGATGGCCTGCACGCAATGATTCTACTGTTCTTCTGGTTATTTAAAGTGGCATCACAGCACCCTGTAGAAGTTATGGTGTCAGGAGTCCTCTGGTGCGATGTCACTTTATTTAAACAGTTTTCAAACCAGTTGGACACTTACCTGGGTCCCTTGGGTGCCTCAGCCTCCATTTCTGAAAATTCTAATGGGGAAATTCCTTCCGCTTCTTAATTAATGTCAATCTGTCCACGTTTGGCCAAAAGTGACTGGCTGAGAGCATCAACTGACACTCCAAAGAATTTTGTCCAAATAGGGATGATATTGGTATATCTATTACAGAAGGGAGACTTCCACTTTAGCTATTTCAAAAGTGAAGGCCAGACTGGAGGCACCCTGGGAACCTGCGTAAGTGTCAAACCATTCGATAGCTAATTTTTTTTTTTTTTTATCATGTGAAGGCACCAGACGTTTCCAGACACCATAATCGCCACAGCAGGCTGTAGTGGTTATAGTACCTACACTGCCCCTTTAAAGCAGACCTGCAAATTGAAATTTTCTTTCCAGAAATCGGTTTAAAACCGTACTGCTAACAGGCAAAGAATATCTAAACAAGCTATAGCATGTTTACCTGTAATTATCACATTTTTATGTATAACGAGGGCTTTTTTGGAATTGAACTACAATATTTAAAAAAAAAAAAAAAAGGATTCTGATTGAAGAGTGGTTCATGTCTAAATTGAATTGTGATATAATTGCTAAATAATTTAAAGGGTAACTCCAAGCATTATAACCACTGCAGCCTGCTATAGGAGTACCCTGGCTCAGTTTCCCGGTAATGTGGCAAACAGTTTGTCCTCTTACTTGGTCCTGCTGGGGGCTGAGGGTCCTCTGTTGCTAAATGCAGACTGCAGAAGCTGGATCCATTTCAACTGCAGAATTTCACCCCAGTTAATGGAGATTTAACCTGACCAAAATAGGGGACACCCATCTTCCTTTTAATTTATTCCACCCCTTTAATGGAAGGTGATATGCCCTGAAGCTTCAGAATAACTATTAAGGATGAAACAGTGGGGCTCACCCATCACAAAGGGATTTGCAGAGGTGATATTATCTCAAACTGATCACTATAATGTCTTTTAAAATGTCAGCTGTTAAACCTGATTGAATCTCTACTAGCACAAGATTGAGAAGGGAAAACCAACTCTTTCCAGTATAACCAAAGTATATGATAAGGTCCAGGATACATATTTAATGGATAGGTTGACTGCTCACTTATTCCAGACTGTAGCTTCTTTTAGTAAAAAATGGGAAACTTACTAAGAAATATGAGACTGCACCCCCCTCCCTAAAATTGTCTTATTCTTTATTTTACCTCCTGGCTGTTCTGTTCTACTTCTTGTGTTCTACTAATGTCATTCAAAAAACGTATTGTTCATTATTGTATATTTAGTGTTTCTTCGGTTTATAGTAGATGTGAGTGTAACTGTGACAATTGGCTACACGTAAATAAAGAATAAAAAAAAAAAAAAACTAATAATTCAATGTATCAACCCAGCAATCCCTCGAATTAAAACTACAGTACATAAAGGTGGCCACAGGGTGCTGCTGTTGTAACATAATATGTATGTCTAATGGCATTCCTTTCCTTCACAGGTGTATTATCACTGCTTTGGTATGGGTGATCCTCTCTCACACAAGTCACCACGTGTCGCCCGCCTGTATGCCCATCTTAGACACCCCATCTACCTTGAGCTGCTCCTCATCCTGTGGGCAGTGCCCAGTATGCCCCCCGATCGCTTGCTTCTCTCCTCTTTCCTCACACTGTACCTGTCGCTGGTCCATCGGCTCGATGTGCAGGATTACACCTACCTGCGTTCACAGCTTCAGAAAAAGTTTGTGCTCTTTTCCCGGGAGGAAACTACTAACGAGAGGTGGGGACTGTGGAAAAAAGACTGAAACGAAGGAGATCCACAAACCCAGGAAGAACTAGGACGTAAATGAACTGGATCTTGTTAGGGCAAATCTGTGAGCAGTGTTAGGGCGTTAGGAAAATGAGCTTTGGAAGGCAAGGTGAACAAGGAAGATAGAAGTATGGAGGGAAAGAATGCTTTTCACGAACTAATGCAAGGCTTTGCACAAATGCCAGGAGTTTTGTTTCTTTGTGGTTTTCGAGGAAGGCTTTGTCGCCATGGGACAATTTTAACATAATCTAGATTTTAGTCCGTAACTCCTCTGGCCGCCCTTTTTTTGGTTTCATGTCTCAAATTATTTAGTCATTATTGGTGCAGATTTCCACCACATCGCTCTTATTTGGATTCCTGGAGAATTAGATCTGCTACTATGTACAAATTTTACCCAGCAGCCAAAGTCATCTTGCATCTCGAAAGTCATTCAGTGTTCTGGTGCTCTCTAACTGTCTGGGGGTGATGGGAACTCTTAACATAACAGATTGTTTGATGTAAAATCATGTCTAGATTATCTCCAGGTCTAGATCAGTCTGCCTGAGCAAACGCAAGTCATAGTGTCCTCTACAGGAAATTCCTGAGCTTCTGGCAGTTCCTCAAGGGCAAAATATATAAATACATATCATGATTATCACTTACATAATAATGGGATTCCATTTTACCACTGGCAACTATCTGACCAATCGCTTTCATGGCCAGGAGTTTGCGTAATGCAATGCTTAGCTTTTATTTATTTTATACATACATTAAGTGCAGATTATGTTTTAATATTTGCATTTCTTACCAAATATCTGGTACTACTATTTCCAGACATGCAACATTTTAAAAGTCCAGCCATCTGTTTGCTTTATTCTGCTTGACATGTGGCATTCCTGTCGCCTTAGTACATGGGTCGGCTACTTTCGGCACTCCAGATGTTGTGGACTACATCTCCCATAATGCTCTAAGAGCCATAATACTGGCGAAGCATCAACAAACATCTGGAGGGCCGAAGGTTGTCTGTTCCTGCCATAGTGGGATGCTTTAATGTGTAAGTTGAAGCCAAGTGCATTATTGGAGTTTAACAGGTAGCCTATAATCTACCGATCCTCATTTTGGCAGACTGGTTGGTTGGTTCCACCAAAAGATTTGGAGTTTATAATATATATACACTATAAAAAATATAATTTTCTTTTTTTTTATTATTATTTTTTTATTATAAATCTGACCCACAGAAGCATATTCACTCTGTCAGCAAACGTGGGAATTAATATGGAAGTTTTAGGCCTACGTAACAATTTTTATTATTTATTGTCTCTGTTCCACTGATTTGATATACAAAATCGCAGTTCTCATGTCTTTTTCCACGGTTACTGATGAGTGAATAAAGCAAACGCTTACTTTATCTGCTCATTCAGACAGCTTTTTACGAGTGTCTCCAGCAAACTAATGTTACATATTTTTATGCTTTTTTTATGTAGAAACAAGAAAATCCTATATTTTAATAAAAATACTAAAAAGCATTGTGTTTCTGCTTCTATGATTATAAGAATCTGTCTTTTGGGTTAGATTGTGTCCTAAGGTGGTAACCACTGGCACTGTGGTGTTTGTAAACTACATTTCCCATAAAGCTCAATCTGATCGGAACCCTAATTCTGAACATAGCATTAGCTCTGTGATTATTATTTGACTGGAACTCCTCACAAACGCCTTCATTAACTCATTAAGGACTGATGACAGCCTGTGTCATCATTACAATCTGCTCTTCCAAGATCCTTTTCAGGAATACAATGGCCCATTCAATTAATAATTGCAGGGCTGTATGGAGGTGTCAAAGCAAAATAAACTGGAAAATCCATGCAGACGTAAGCCCATAAGGGACCGTGCTGGTATCTCTGCATAATGAGAAATCTGGTTAAGCTATTCCCAATATTCACATGGTATCCATCAGAGTTAAACTGTTTATTTGCTTTTAGCAGTGTTATTCACCAGCCTCCTAACTGTAACAAATAAAAATACAAATTTAGGTCAAAACAACTGATTTGGAAAATTCTGCTTGGCTATAGCTAGTTTGGCTATTCTGGAAATGGTTCCATTCTGATTTTTATTCACTGCAGTTCAGTCCGTGTAACAATATTAATATACTTTATTTGCAGCCACGTTGCAGATGGTTAAAGTCTGAGCATGCTATCTTACATTGGCGCAATGAAAAAGCAATTAGAGCAGATTCCTTCCTCTGAACAATGTGAGGTTTTTCCTGGTATACTGACACAAAGCTATTTCTGTACAGATGGCTGCGTTTATTTATCTCTTGTTTTAAGGTGGAGAGGAGGAGAGATTTTTTTTCATTACTTGTATTTAAAGGTACACTGTAAGTATCATAACCACTGCAGCTCATTATAGTGTATATGACGCTATAGCCTCAGGTTCTCTGCAAAATTGTTTTGGGAGCCGTTTGTCAAAAACTGTAAATTTTTGCAACACCTACAGCTCGCTGCATCAAACTGCTCCTAAACTGTCTGAAAGCCAGGGGACAACATCCATAGATTCATACCACCATAACCACTACAATAAACTGTTGCAGTTATGGCGCTTAGTCCCTTTATATATTTCCTAAAATATTAAGTATTTGTACATGGCATTGTTTATGAATTTTTATTTCTTCATTCGCCAGTATTTTTCTTAAAAGGACACGGAAGGCATCCAGACCACTTCGGCTCATTGACGTGGTCTGGGTGCTGTGTCCCTTTTGCACCTAGTGCTGCAATGTTAAACCTAAGTCTTCCCTCAGTGGCTGTCTACCAGACCACCACTGGGGGCGCTTCCAGAATCATAACGGACATTTGGTCCATTATCTGATGCTTAACGTCCTGACGCTCGGCATTTACCGCGCATGTGCATTACACCTCACTCGTCGCAGGACGGACAAGGGGGTGGTGCTTAGACCCAGCACCGAGGGACATCGGCGCTGGGATAAAGTAAGTAAATAAAGGGTTTTTAACCCTTTATTTACTGGGTAGGATGCGCAGGGGAGGCAGAGGGATTGGTAGTGCCAGGAATACAACTTTGTATTCCTGGCACTACAGTACCCCTTTAATTACTTTTTTGCACAATTCTAACCTTTTGAAAATAAATTGGCACAACTCAAAACTATATTTGGTAATAAAGCGGTCTCTGGTAGTTTCCTGCCTGTCCTTCCAAGGTAAAACCATAGGTAAATGTGGCCAGACACATATAAAAGTAGTTTAACCCCTTAAGGACCAAACTTCTGGAATAAAAGGGAATCATGACATGTCACACATGTCATGTGTCCTTAAGGGGTTAAAGAAACAAAAAGAGGTGAAGACTGAAGATGAGAAAACAGTACAGGGACACTGCACTGTCCAAATAAAAATCACTGTTTAGAATATGTACCGCTAATAATGGTGCATTTATTCATTGGACGGTAAATCTAAAAGAGATATACAGAGTACAAAGAGTTGTCATTAATGGTAAATTTTGAAGCTGAACAGAGGTGACCCCTTCTATTTAACATGTTTATAAATGATCTTGAAGACAGCATTGAAAGTCATTAGGGATAACAACACACGAAAAGGACTTGGGAATTGTTATAGACAACAAACTATGCAACAATGTGCAATGTAAATCAGCAGTGGCCAAGGCCAGTAAGGTATTGTCATGCATGAAAAAGGGCATTCATTCTCAGGACAAGAATATCATTTTGCCTCTTTATAAATCACTGGTAAGACCACATATTGAATATGCTGTGCAATTTTGGGCACCTGTTCTAAAGAAGGATATTATGGCATAGAGAAAGTGCAGAGGCGGGCTACAAAATTAATATAAGGAATGGAATATATCCGCTATGAAGAAGGGTTAACAAATTTAAACCTCTTTAGTTTAGAAAAACATCGCCCGAGAGGGGATTTGATAACATACAAATATATTGTGTGGAAATCTATTCACAAACCGGACTTTACATAGGAGATGAGGCCATGCGTTTAGACTGGAAGAAAGAAGATTTCGACTAAAGCAAAGGAAAGGTTTTTTTACTGTAAGAACAATAAGGATGTGGAATTCTCTGCCTGAAGAAGTGGTTTTATCAGAGTCCATACAGATTTTCAAACAGCTACTAGAGGCATACTTGTAAAAACAGAATATTCAAGGATATATTTTTTTCAATGTAGGGTTATAGCTTCTTGATCCAAGGATAAATTTAACTGCTATTCTGGGGTCAAGAATAATTTTTTTCTTAGTTTGTTGCAAAATTGGAAGTGCTTCAAACTGGGTTTTTTTGCCTTCTTTTGGATCAAAAGCAAAAAACAAAAGTGAGGAAGGCTGAACTTGATGGACACATGTCTCTTTTCAGCTATGTAACTATGTAAAACATCTAAACACCTCTTGCAAAAACTGCAGATCTATTTTCTGCATCGTTTGCAAGCCTGCCCCTTCTAACCCCACCCAGGCTTTCTGTGACTGTCCAACCCATAGCTTTTTTGAGTTCACTCTCAAAATAAGTTGACTTTCTGTGGCTGTCCAATCACAGACTTCCCAATGCAGTTCAGTGAGAAGTCTTTGCAAGGCAGGTGCTCTGGGCTATTGCTGTCTCTTGAGTTTAATTCGACTGAGCTAATCAAACCAGGAAGTAATAGGGCATGTTGTGTGACTTCCAGGTGGTGTAACAAGATTAATTTATAAAACTGCCACTTTCACTGAAATCTGCACTTTTTGTAAAATAGGGGGGAGGGTAAGGGAGAGGACATACTCTTCACACATAAAATAATTTAGCAAAATAAAGTACTTTAGGGTCTGTGGTTTCCCTTTAGAACAAGGAATCTGGTCATTTGCAACCTGGGGTGCCTCTGCATGTGGGACGTGTAATCAGTGCATTACGTACTGTAAATGGAGACGGAAATTCCTACACTTGCATGGACAAAAGAACATTTGAGGGTTTTTTTTAACTAAATGGATGATTTCTGACTTCCAAGAACTGCCATTTGTCACTTTGATAAGACTGTAACAATGTGCCATTAATCCAGTAAACAAGTCAGTAGCTGTGTCTGCACTTTTAGAAGCGATTCAGAGAACATCATTAAAGGGACTCCAATCCCACAAAACCTTGCACATCACTGCAGTATGGGTGCTCGAGCTGTTTCTGGGAATTGTAGTTGTTAGCTTTCAAATAAAACTAAATAAAATAGTTTTTGTTTTTTTTTAAAAAAAGGACATACAGACACATAAGGCACTTGCAGACGTCCACAAAACTTGTTTTGTTTTTCATTAATGGAATGTTCCTTTAAAAATGAATCTTGGTCCAAAAGTTAAATATTATGGGGGGCGGGGCCTGACTGCGGAGCTTCTCGGCATATTCTGTGAAATTTTGTCTAGTTTAGTTTTGCTGTTGCCAAGACACAACTGTCCTATTTGTTTTTATTTCATGATCTCTTAATGCTAAAAAAATGTGCAGTTTATCCGGACATGTAATGTTTGTTTTCTGCTCATCCGCACCAACTGTGTTCTGTGACATGTCACTGTTATCCAATGGACGTTTCTCAGCACTCCAAAATAAAGAATGTAACAAAAGTTAAATATTTATGTTCATAAAACAAAAAGGTGTTTAATCATTAAACATCATATTGCAAAACCTCAATAAAAACATCAACAAAAAGTGAAAATTGACAAATTCTGACCAGAATGGTAATTCTCATATGTCCTAAAGCCAATTCCATTCAGTCAGAGAGACCAAATACCTTTTTTTTTACATCCGAACCCTAAACAGAGTATAACATTCTGAATATTTACAAAACACCCGTTTTCAAGTAATTCAGGACAAAATGCGTCCATCAGATATTAAACATTTGCAAATTATCATTCACTGGCATTTTGTAGGTGAGAGATAATTTGAAGTACTATTTGTCAGCTAACAGCACAAGCAGCCAGCAGACACATAGTGAATAACATCCTCAGCAGTGCAGCAGTGCGAGGGTTAATCCCGAAGCATATAACCATATTAGAATAAAGTTCCCATAAACTGTGCCATCGGTGGGGCAAGTCTATTAAACTGTGAACAGCCAGATCTGCACAAATATATGCAATGTATTACTTGGAAGTTTGTTCACTAAATATTGAATTATGCAAAATAATATTAAAATGCAAATAAGAAAATGTAACCTTATCTATTCATATTGAGACTATAGGTGAGTTGAAATTTTGAAATGTAGCCTTAATGTTGCAATGTAGATTTCAGTTTGCTACGGAAGAGAGGGACTCTGCCCCTTTCAGAAAGGTTTTGTTAAAATTACACTCGCTGGGCATCGACTCACGGACGCTATTCCTAATTCTATGATCGACAAAATGACTGCAATAGTTAGGAAGCCTACCCTTGGCTAACTTAGAATTCCAATTAATGTGTTAATTCCTAGGGGACCTTATCATTTCGGGCCTAACATTAAATCACCTTTTCTCATTATATCACAACTGTCCCCGCTCCCTTCGTT